TGCACTACCCAGCGTTTTTAGATGTTTTGAGACTACCTTACATTTCATGGTACTTTACACCAAGCTTTTCACCTGCCCCTTTAATAGCTTACTTTTTCACGCGGGTCTCGGTATATCTCGGTGAGATGTGGAGGATCTTTTGTATGCATGTAGCCACTTTCTGCATTTGTTCAAGCCAATGGCTTGTGGCAGTGCAAATAGCAGAGTCATCTCCAGCCTCAAGACCACTTAGTTACATTTTTCTTCCCCCCCCCCTGCAATCATCCGGAGACTCAAAATGTAACTTACCTACGTGGGAGGTCCCTATGTTACATTTACTGAGCCCCCCCACCCCCTCCCAAACAGTTCACCGTAGATACCTGGGAGGACCTTAACTTACAATTAATTCTGGGCTGGGGACCCCCCGAAAATTGTAACTTACATTTTGGTAGGTCCCCCCCCCAAAACCATGGTTAGTGGGGTAGGGATGTTGGAGGCCGTCGGCCATCACAAGTAGGTTGGAGGCCATCGCTGTTATAAGGTTGGAGGCCATCGCAAGTAGGCTGGAGGCCATCGCTAGTAGCAACAAAAAGGGAAAAGGAATCCGCCGACCCCACACCGTGGGGTGAGGCGTGACTGTCGATGTTAGCCTTAGCCTTAAGCCTTAGCCTTAGCCTTAGCCTTAGACCTTAGACCTAGTCCTTAGCCTTAGACCTAGACCTAGACCTTACCTCCCCTACCCCTCCGGACCCTTGTTGCAGTGACGAAATCCTGCCGGGAAAGCGACCTGGATTGTCCAAGAATCTGCCATCCCAATTGATTTACATCTTGGGGCACCCTCTCGACCCGCGCGGGAAAATAAGCACGGTCCAAAATGGTCCTGGGCTCGAATCCCGGGCTGGTCGCGGCATGGTCCCGGCCAATGCCCTTGCTTTTTCGTAGATTTTGTCACGTTTTCTGTTGGCTTATGAGATTTTCAACGGCCTTTCTGGCATTTTCCTAGGAATGCTCTAGGCTTTGTCTTTTTGGGTACCTGCTTTGGTGGTGCTGGGTTGGGTCTAAATTGGTAAACCTGGGAGGTACCCAAAAAGTCGACTTTTTGGGTACCTGCTTTGGTGGTGAAGGGTTGGGTCTAAATTCTTGGGCAATGATCGGGGTTCATGCAAGAGCTGACGTCCGATGGTAAATCTGGGAGGTACCCAAAAAGTCGACTTTTTGGGTACCTGCTTTGGTGGTGCTGGGTTGGGTCTGCACCCTTAAGGCTAAGGCTAAGGCTTAAGGCTAAGGCTAACATAGAGCAAGGCTAGCGCTAAGGTTCTATCCCTTGGGGGTCGGCGGCTGCAGGCGGTAGCCTGGTAATAAAGGTCTACTCTGCAGGCTACTAAGATCGGCGCATCTTCGAATCAAAACAATGGCCAGTTTCATTGCTGCCTTGTCCTCAGATGAGTCAATCACTTGCACCTCACTTCCCACAAGCTATTCATATTAATACAGATTATGCGTGTGGATATTGACCAACTTGATGTGAAGTCAAGATGACTATCCGTGTTTCCCAACCATGTGCTGTGGAGGGCGCGCTTCTTTTCCTTGCGCAATGGGAGTCTTGAGCCAAATAGGCCACACACGCGTGAAATGTTCTATACATATGTTGATTGTGGTATTGCGCCACTGCTGTTGACACCCCCCATGTGATTAGCGCTATAAGCGTTCATCACACTTGAAACAATTCAAGGGTAGTGAGCTATACGTATTGCCGCAGGACCTACCAAATTCAAAGTAGTCTCATACTACACATCACTGTAAAACTAAGCGGACTTTACATATTATTCAGCGCGCAAGTCTTCCCATGCATTCTCCGTAGACCTTAATTAATGAAAACCGACAGTGAAGGTTTTGCCTCGCTCAGAACCCACTCAGTACTTCTCTTCAATGATGTAGACCGAGCTTCATACCTTCATCTGTAGAAAGTTTGGATGTAGATACTCTTATAGCTTCAAGGCTGTCTAGCGATGTACACTATCCTCGTCTGCAGCTCATTGGCAACTGCCATCATCGCCTTGTTTTCCTCAGACAGATGTTGAGCTCGTCTGCTGTAGGTACCTGAGATTTGATTTTGTTCTTGGATGAATCCAAATGCACTCTGCATCTCACTGGTCATATCCTCCATCTTGGTCTTCACTTCGTCAAAGTGTGAGTGTTCCTCAGGATTTTTCGTGTAGATGTGATCAGCCATTGATTCAGCTAATCTGAGCTTCCTCTCGAGTTCTTCGATTCTTATGGTTGCTCCCTCGTCCTCTTGCATCAAACTTCTTGTAGGTGAGTATTCATTGCCATGTTGCATTTTGTCATCTGCGAAAAGTCTTCTGTTGATTCAGCATAGAGTCTCTTGTACCCATCATGTAGACAAGTGTATTCATCATTCAAGTGCTGATAGGATACTCTTGCTGATCTCAGTTCTTCCACGAGTCGGACCTCTCTCTCTCTTCATAGTCCTTAGCATATTCGATTTCTGTCTTTTCAATGTCCCTTTTTGGGTGATCTTCTCGATACAGTTCTCGGTGATGTAGATCTCGTAAATCTCTTCATAGCCCTTCTTTCATTTCCCATTCTTGCATCAGGTCTTGATGAGGTCGCCTCCAGTGGAGCGATCCTCCCTGTACCCGAAGTTTGTGATGTTGACGGCATGGTAATCACAGTAGCTGTCTCAATAGAACTCGCATCATTGATCGAACCTGGTGATGACTGTGATGCGTTTCCTCCTGGAGCCTGAGCCTGGAGCTGCGAAAGAGAAATGCTCGCTACTCTTTCCTCCAGAGCTCGACATTGTATTGCAAGCCTTTGTTGCAGTGTTGGTCTCTCAAAGCTCGTAACCTCGGAGCGGCTACGGCTGATAACCTGCGTGTGGATATTAACCAACTTGATGTGAAGTCAAGATGACTATCCGTGTTTCCCAACCATGTGCTGTGGAGGGCGCGCTTCTTTTCCTTGCACAATGGGAGTCTTGAGCCAAATAGGCCACACACGCGTGAAATGGTCTATGTTGATTGTGGTATTGCTCCACTGCTGTTGACAAATTACAAGAATCTGTAAGGATAGCCTCCCAGAATCTTAAAAGGCCTTGCACATCTTTGGCCTGATGCACTTTGCAAGAACTGCGATGTTAAACGCCACCAGTCCTCTAACTGCTGGTTTGCCAGGCACTCCTCCACCTGAAATCCGAAGTTATGAGCGTCGTGTCATGCCTACATTGTGCTAAAGCATGTGTATGACAGGCCTGCTCGTTCAGTTCTTCCACCTGTATGGCACTGCTGGCCTCAAGAGAGGCGATGCTGACAATCTCTCAAGCTTGCCGCTTGAGGGTCACACCACTGCCTTTATGAGCCGCAAGAGTACCATGCCAGATGCCAAGTCGCTGCAGAGATTCGTCACCTCAAGCCAGGAAACGCTTCTCACGAAATCAAATCGCTGGCAATCACAGCGCAAACTTAAAGGAACGACTTACAAGCCACAGTCCCTCACACCATTTTGTTGGCTGCCCCTTTCAGCCGTGATGGAACCAAACACCTGGAGGAGGAGCCAAGTCCAAATTGAATTAACATCAGGTCACTATGCCTGTAGATTGACCCAGCGGCACAGAACTTCTCCCAAGGACTCGGCAAAGCAAAACATGTCAGAGGTTGACATCAAAGCAATACAATGCACACATACAGTAAGCATGCATACAATGCATCCCTTCTTGTCCATGGTTGTGTTCTGTTCTCGAACACCTCTCTTTCATACCCGGCTGAACTATTCTTTCATAATCTATAGTACTAAATGGGCCCGACAGCGTTTGCAAGGCTAATGCCGCGGCTAATCTGCTCAAGCTCCAAATGGTCTCCTCCATCAAGCACAGCCTCTCACTGACGAAACAGACAAGTAAAGAGGTTGCCGTGAAATTTGAATTCTTGTGCTTTTTATGGATCTGACTGTCGATTTTGGGTGTATGAAGAAGCTGAAGAAGCAAGTAAGCGACCGGAAGCTACCGTAGGTGGACAAATTATGGAAACCCTTGCCTTCACCACACCCTTCAAGTCGGGTGCGGACGAAATGAATCCGACCCTAAAATCAAAAATGCAATCGCAGCATTGAAATTGTATTATTGGGGCCAGGGGGCTGGGTAGAGATAATCTTGCAGGAGGTTGATTAATCTGTCCATCTACCGTCATTACTACCACTAATATGCTGTATGAAGCGGTTTCAGGTTTTTGAGGGTACTAACCAATACTAACCTTTCGACTCTAGACATTTCTGTCGTTCTTCCTTTCTTTGCGTGTGTAACTGAGCAACCTACAAATCCCAGTCGTTTCCATACATGACAATCATGACAATTGTCAGACACCATGACACTTCGTTTTGGAGATCATGTTAATAAGTAGTATGCTGCCAAGACAAAGTAAAGCCCCTCCCCGGAATCTTTAGGCGGTGACGTGCTGAGGTGATCTCAGGTGCGCGATTGTACACGAGCATCAGCAATCAAATCGGGCATATACAAGAACATGCACTTCTTCTAACCTCCTAGCAAGTCCCGAAAATGATTTGCTCATCCATTACTGGCACCAGGGGATATTAATGCATACGCTGCACAGCGTTTCTAGAAGCCTCAGGAAGCAGGGCTAAATAAAAAGACGAGGAAACTTGAGGCAAACCAAGGATGATGACCACCACATTGAAATCAACTAGTCTTGCTTGAGAGAATGCCAGCAGATATTCAGCCGCAATTGTCTTTCCAGCATAGATGCAATAGGCAAGACACCGCGTCAGCACATCATGCTCCAAAGCTTTGTGCATGAAATCGTTCGCAAAGAATTTTGAGCATCTCAGTACCTTCAGTAGATGAACAAGGACGCTATTAGGTGGAGGCCATCGCAAGTAGGTTGGAGGCCATCGCTACTAGTAACAAGAAGCTACTAGTAGCAAGGACCTCCAGAACCACTCCACCACTCTTTTGGCCTCAGTGTTCCTGCTGTCCCAACCCACCTACGAGGCCTTGCGCCGCCTTGCACTATGGGTAATCGAACAGACCGACCAACAGTCACTGAATTCCCTACATGTTACGTGCACGTGGACGCAGTGGACGCAAACACGGCCCCTCCCCACCGCACCCAAATCACCCCCATTCTGAGATTCAGATGCAGCCACCCCCCACGGCCCCCCACCTGCTATACTAGCCTATACTCATCACTTTGTTTGCACCCAAACACTGCGCCCCATCAGCTTGCATTGCATCATGTTAAATCATGCTGCATCACATAGCAGCCTAGCCTAGCATTGTATGTACAAATACAAGCATTCGAAATTCGGATATTCCTTTACTACATATACAAAGAAATCAAGGATACATTGGGATACGACATGATACAACCACATATTCTTGCAACGGAGTACAATGACAGCCAGGTCATATTGCCTCAATCCCATACCTGTTTGTAGCGTTCCCGCCTGGAGAGATCAAACATATCTGCATAGGCAACTCTTCCAGCAACATCTTGGAACCTCAATGCGGCACCCAGTACACAGTTGACATCTGGGTTCTCTATGATTTCACCCTTTTTGCAAACAAATGCAACGAGAGGCCATAAAGGTCTTGCAGGCATGCTCAGCAAACTACACACGACATGAAGAACTCTGCCCTCCATCTCATACCCACCTTCCCTGCCCCACCCTTTAGATGCCTGTCAATTCACGCCCTCTGTAGACTGAATGGGTTTGAAACGAGATTCGGAATGTTTGTGTGAAGTGAAAGCATGCAAGCATGCAAATGTCTTCGTTTTCTATGACTCTTCTCATACTATGTATGCAAGTGTACCATTGCTCTATTGGTGGACATCGGGCAATCTGCAGTCAATGCTTGTAAGCTGAGAGATTTCAGCTCAAACCAGAGTCGTGTCAGTGTTGTGGCACACAACATCAACAGCCATGCATCTTCGAGCTGAAACATGCTGTACAGCGCAGATTTGCATAGTGTGCAGCTCCACCGTCCACAAACATCATCGCTTCCAAACGCTTGGACAGCTGAATTTTCAACAAGAGTGCAAACACCGGAGGTGTCTTTCAAACCTTTTGGGGAAAAGCCTGCAGAGCACATACTTCCCAGACATGAAAGATCATGAAAACCCAATGCAAAGAAACCCTTCAATAGAGCGTCAGTCTGCAGATTGGTCATATACAGTTCACTTCTGCAGATCTGCACATGCTGAAGAGTTGCCAAAACTAACCTTGAAGCTACAACTTGACACAACGACTCAATAAGACCCAAGCATATGCATAATCTTGGCCATTGGAAATTGAATTTCCAACTCCTGTCAAGAAAGTGGGCAATTTGATGCAAGCCATGGGGTGAGGGATCAACAAAAAAAAGAAACAGCGTAGCTTTACAAGTATTGGACGGGTATCAAAAAAAGGAAAGTGGTCGAAAAAATAGTTCCAGTGAGCAGTGAAAGGAAACGGAGACTAGGGAAAGGACAACAGCTGCAGGGCAGGCGACCAAAGGACCGTGAAAGGATGATTGCAACAAATAATCAAAAAACGTAGGCGAGGGTGTGCAATACTTGGTGTGGATGTGCGATGGCGACGGGGTGACCTTTAAAAAGTCGGTCATGGCAGGCCCAGTGCATTGGCCAAAGTAGTGCAGATTTCGTGGCGCCGAAGCGGGATTGCAAACTACAAAAGCCACCAAACGCTGAAGGCGCCACAAATACATCATCGAAAACTACACTAACTACACAGCCCAGTCAATGAGGGGCCCATCCACCACAGGACGGTGAAAGGATGCTTGTAGCCGCTTGCAACACAAAATTAGGCGAGCGGATGGGTGCCTGGGCGACCTTTAGAAAATCTGTCGTGGGAGGCCCAGCTCATTGGCAAAAGTAGTGCAGATTTCGTGGCGCTGCAGGTGGATTGATGCCGAGGGCGCAGCGCCTCCGCCATCGAAAACTACACACCTCAGAAACTGACACACGGACCCAGGAAACCGGGCTGCGCTTTGTTTTCGCAAACCTCGTCTTTTGGGCCAATATTGACCAATGGACCACGAGGCCAGCGCACAGGAAAGGGACCAGGGGACCAAAGGGGACCAAAGGACCAGGGGACCAGGGACCAATGGACTAGGGCACCAAAGGACCAGGGGACCAGCGGACCAGGACACCGAAACCAGAAGACCAGCGTGCTAGGAGACCAAGGGCCAGCGGACCAGGAGACCAAGGGCCTAGGGGACCACTAGACTCGAAGACTGGATGTTATTTTGATCCTTTACTTTTTTCTGTTTGATCCTCATCTTTTATTTTCTTCTTATCCATTATATGTTCTTTTTTGATTCAAATGCCCAAACCATGTGTAAATGGGGGCCGCACCAGTTCGCGAGAATTCTCTAGCCTCAACAACATGACGAGCTGCACCACTCTCTGACCACCGAAAGGCCGCGCCTGGGCAGGCCTGTTGGAAGAATAACATGCCTGCGAGATCCTCATTCACTCCAGTGTGAAGAAAAAAAGAGAGGCACCCTGATCCAGTGCTGAGTGAGAAGCGTCGCAAGCGCTCCTGTGCAAACCGGTAGATTGATAGGGGTGTCTACATGTAGCTGTGTTAGTGATTCTTTGATGACTAGCGCTGGCCTTCTCATCAATGATGTGAAGGGTTTGATCCTTCACAAGTGCCACTTCACAAAAGAAACTCTTCGTGTTTCGGTACGAGTTCTTCCACGTCATGTTTCATTTCATCAGGCTTTCAAATCGTCGTGTTAGTTTTGTGCCTCGGCCAGGGATTGTGCGTGAAGAAAGCTTCTGATAGCAGGAGCCTCATTGAGTTGGGAAGGCGGTGTTGCCAGGGTGCCTGTTTCTGTGTATCTTTCTGTGCATGTGTGCAGTGAAACAAGCAGAAACAAGGAGCTCTCCGAGCACAAGCCAAAACTCATGCTGAAATCCTATAACCCTCCAAGCAACAAAATTACCGAAAGGAGACAACAAATGGTCCAATTCTAAAGTATATAAATGCAAAGGGCATCAAAGCAAGCAAGGCCTCACCTCTCGCAGGAAGACCGCACATAGAGAGCTCCTTGACATGTCACAAACTCTGTCATCTCTTGTAAACCTGTGAGATGCTGGCCTCAAAGAAGCGGCTCGGCCAGCCACGATGTCACTGGATTTCAACATGAACCTAAGGAATAAAAATGGAGTTTGGAACACACAGAATCGTGTGGTACTCAAAAGAAACTCTCGACCGAATCCCAATCGTCGCCTAGTGATCAACATGGGCGAAAGTGAGTTGAAGTAGTCTGCCGAAAGCACCTTACACTACACTGTTACACGGACCACATGCGTGAGATTTTGAAACACAAGTTACAAGTGTTCCGCATCTTGCAGCATGTAATTGTCATCCGCTCAATATTCTAAGTTGGGAGATGCACGCGACTCGCCAAATAAGGTTTTAAGGACATCGAGGAATCATAGTGCGGGCGGGCATTTCTTGAAAATGTGCCAAGATGGATGGCAATAAGCAGGTGGCTGCTCGACGCTCGTCATCTTTCCTCGTCGCTCGGCACAGCAAAAGAATCCCATGGCACATTCGGAACACACAAAACAAAGTTGGATGAGGCTCAAACTCATCAAGAACAGCGAGGTCGGCTGGGTCAAAAAAGGCAGATTTTTGCCTGAAGAAATCACAAGCATCTGAAACAAACAGTGTTCGCCAAAAGTTGTCACAACTGTTTCTTTTGATTTTGGCCAAGCAACAACATTCACAATGACTTGGTGTGGCTAGTGCCAAGCGCATAGAAAAGTATCCCTATATATAGGTATCTATCGATCTACCTATCTATCTATCTATTTATCTATCTATGTGTATATATATAATTATATATATATGTAAATATGTGTGTGTGACTTGCGCAACCCTTGGAATCAGGGCCTTTAGGCTCTAAAAACACGGGGACAGAGCTCTCTGATCCTACTCTGTCCAATCAAGCTACGCATCAGAGAGGGAAACATCCACTGGCCATGGATGTGTGTTTGCTTTCTTACACTACAGAGCGATTCTTAGGTCTCGCTCGTAAACTGGGGGCAGAGATCGTCGGCAGAGTTGTCTGCTGGTTCTCTTTCCTTGTCACTACCGCTATGAGCGATTCCTTCGTCTCACTCATTAGAACAGGAGGTTTTCCATCATTTTGTCTTAATTACCTACCCTGCAATAGGAGGCTTCAAGAGTGATTCATCCGTCTCGCTCGCAGTTTGGAGATACCTCTACTAGAGCGATTCATTTGTCTCGCTCGCAAATTGGAAGTTTGCACTTGCATCAGTTAATGTTCAGTGAAAAGTTGGAACTATGCTCATGCATCGGTCAGTCGCTTGTCAGTGAACGATTGGAAACATGCATTTGCCTGGGTCACTTTTCAGTGCACTTGAAACGTCCCTGGTTTTACTTAGGTGTTCATTTACCAAGGTTTTTTGTCTGGACCTGTGGCATGCAGATCTGTGCACTGAAGCAAAGGCCGACTGAGGAGAGATGAAAGAACTGTCCCAAAAAAACAATAGCCAATAAATATAGTTATATCCACAACAATATTGATTAGGATTGGATACAATACACTCATGCAGTAAATGATATGTCATCACACTGTGGCCTGAAGGATACTTTATTGAAACTCCCAAAGGCAACCATCTTGTGACATTTACAACATCTCTTACATCATCAACTAAGCAAAAGCGTTCAACCAGGCCAATATTTAAACCTTTGAAGCACGTTAACGGTAAAATACATACAAATACATTGGATTCTAAAGCGCAAAGGCCACCTGGCCACAGCTGTGTAGTTGATTGCTAACCTGGAATTGGCACCTCACCTTCGGTGCGGATTTCAAGCCATGAAAGGCAAAGCGGCAAAGATCCACTAGTTTAAAAATATATATCCCGGCAAGAGACCCCAAGCAATGTGTGTGAGGTCTGTAAACAGAAAGTCTAGAGATCTAGACGCATTGGGGTCCAGAGAGGTGATGGTGGTGATGAAGTGAAGGTGGGTGTGAGCGAGTGTGGGTGAGAGGGATTGTGAGTGAGAGTGGGAGGGTGAGTGTGAGTGCGAGTGAGTGAGAGTGAGTGTGGGTGAGAGTGAGAGTGAGTGTGCGTGAGTGAGAGTGAAGGTGGGTGTTAGTGAGTGTGGGTGAGAGTGCGAGTGTGAGTGAGAGTGAGTGTGAGTATGAGTGAGACTGAAGGTGGGTGAGTGGGTGTGGATGCGAGTGAGAGTGAGTGTGGGAGAGTGAGTGGGGGAGTGAGAGTGAGAGTGAGAGTGAGAGTGAGAGTGAGAGAGTGAGAGTGAGAGTGAGTGAGTGAGAGTGAGTGTGAGTGTGAGTGTGAGTGTGAGTGAGTGTGGGTGAGAGTGTGAGTGCGAGTGTGAGTGAGAGTGAGGCTGAGTGTGAGAGTGGGTGTGGGTGAGTGAGTGTGCGTGTGTGAGTGTGAGTGTGAGCGCGAGTGTGAGTGAGAGCGAGTGAAAGTCTGCGAGTGGGAGAGTGAGTGGGTGTGAGTGTGAGGAGTGTGAGTGTGAGTGGGAGTGGGAGAGTGAGTGAGTGAGTGAGTGTGTGTGAGGGAGTGCGAGTGTGAGTGAGAGTGAGAGTGAGTGGGAGTGAGTGTGGATGAGAATGAGTGAGGATGAGGATGAGGATGAGGATGAGGATGAGAGTGAGGATGAGAGTGAGGATGAGAGTGAGGATGAGA